CATATGCCTAGAAATAGTTTAACATTCCAGGCATTACACTTCATCATTGCTCATCAATTACTTGAAATTATACTAAAAAATTAAGTAATAAGGAAATAGAATAATGGCAATAAAGTAATCAGAAAACAGAAAAATGCTGATGAGGTAGGAAGAATAATTGCTTGCAAAGATGCCCATATCTTATCCCCCAACTTGTAAATATACTACCTTACATAGCAAATGAAACATTGTAGATGCGAGTAAGGGCAAAGGCTTTGAGATAAGGACTGTGTGCAATTCCTCCAGTAGACGCATTCCTCCAGTAACCACCAGACCTTAAAAAAATAAAAAATCTTTCCTGGAAAGGATGAGAGACACACAATACTGTTGGCTCTGAAGACAGAGCTATGAGCAAAGAAATATGGTCAACCTTTAGAAGTTGGACAAGAAAAGCCTCCAGTGATGAACATAGCCCTGCAAAGACCTTGTCCACTGAGAGCAGTGTCATAGCTCTTATCTACAGAACTCTAAGCTAATAAATCTGTGTTGGTTTAAGCAATTACATTTGCATGTGATTAGTAACAATAGCAATACAAAAACAATAAAGATTTAATGGCCTAAATAAAAAATATAATAGTAGAGAAGCTGATGCCAGGGACTTAAGAGGAGAGCAAATGTTTTGAGAATGATGAGGGCAATGAATGTACAAATGTGCTTTACACAATTGATGGATGTATGGATTGTGATAAGAGTTGTATCGGCCCCTAATAAAATGATTAATATATGTGTGTGTATATTAAAATAAATTATCTTCCAGTTTTCTCCTGTTCTTACTCAAAGTATTGCTTCATCTTTCAAGAAGGTATTATTAAAGATTGAAGTTTAGCATCTTTATAGTCTAATTTTTGCTTTCAACAAATCCAACTGAAAATTCCGAGATTTTCAATTCCCACCCAATATGGCCAAGAGAAGAAAATGACAAGTACATTTGATAACAGTTACATCAGGGGAAAAAAACTCACCAAAATACTCTATACACTAAAACTTTAGAAAACATTATCCTACATGAAGTTTAGAATCAATGAATTGAACAATTTATTGTTTATATTGTTATATTACAAAGGGGTAACATGCTACTCTCATCAAGTTAGTAATTCAAACAGAAGGACTTCATTACGTAACAGTCTACAACAAGAACTTGGGCCCATCTCTTGCTCAAGGACACATGATAGTATTCCTTAACCTTGATGATTATTTTACTCAGTATATCAAGAGTATAACAGATGTAATGCAAGCAATGGTAAATTTTAATTAGAATAAAAAATAATAAAGAGCCCTATACAATGACTGATCATATTATTCCTGGACAATGATAATGTGAATAAAGTTAATAGCTAACACAAAATCAGAGAAGTTATTTGTATAACTCTAAAGCAATTAGTAGAATATTCCAGGAACACAGGGAAATCAGTTCAAAATGAAAGTAACCTAACAGAAGAGTAAGCAATAAATGAGACCAATTTAAAAGCTAATAAGCGTATGAAGAAATATTCAAGATAATTAGTGGTTGAAATTAAACAATTAGATACCATTTTATACACTGGACTATCGAACATGACGAATGTGGATAATGATAAGTGTTTGTAAGGATGTGGGGATATGGAAATACCCATGCATTCTGCTGAAACTGCAGATTAATACAACCATTCTGAAGAACAATCTTGTACTACTTAGTGAATATACGTCAATACAAACCCTAAGATCTAGCAATTCTGGCTTTTGGGAATACAGACAGAGCTTGGATTACCAACATCCAATTTACAGACAACTCTTACTTGCTCTTTAAACCAGTTCTGCTTGCTCAGTGAAGCAAACAGGAACAGAATCAAAGTTTTATAGCCTGGCAGATTTGGCATGGTTCCAAGGACAGGAAAAAAACAAGAGGTGGAAGCCCTGGAATGGAAAACTTGGAAGTTGGAAGAAGTATAGTAAGTCCTTTCAGGAGTCTGACAGTGAGAATGGAAAATTGGTAGGATTGCAGGACAGTAACATTCATTCAAAGTCATGCAGTTGTGCTACCATCTTTGAGCAGGATACTACCATATTCCAGGTGGTCGGCAATGCTTTGCGTAGTGCGCAAAATCCAAAGGCAAGTTATGTGGTTGTTCTGTATTATGTACACTCTCCTTCTCTAACAGAGATTATGTTTCTAGCATGGCTTCCAGGTATAATTTTTCCATTCTGGCTATCCTTTTCTGGTTCAGTTTAACTTTAAAAAAATCAGGTCTGTTCATTGATACTTCCTACGCAGGACTGGTATGAAGCCCAGTTAAAAGAAACTCTGGTAACTGGACTAAGTCTTGTAACGGCACTGGCCACTGCAGCCAATGACAGAGCTGGGATGAGAGTCGCCTAGGCTTTATTAACCCATCGGGAAGGATGAAGATAAAATCTTTAAGACAACCTTGTCTCTTCTCATGTGGTCTGAGTTTTTATACTTCTATGGCATCAAATTTACTTGATAAAAACAGGTTCACTGTTTAAACGCTTCATTAAAACCTCGAATAAAGTTGTTTTTCTTTATATCTTTATTCTTAAAGACAGTTAAGAACCTAGGCAGTTAAGAACCTGCCTATGAGAACAGTCCTAAAGAAATACCTACAAGATCCTTAAGTGGGCAAGGACAAAGATTTTCCATGCAGTTTAAGTTTGTGGGGAGTTGAACCTGGTTGTTATGCACTGGTTACCTTGTGCATAACAGAATAAAATGTTGTGAAGTCCTGTGTTGGTATGTTTGAGTCCATTGTTGTAGCTATTGTGTCAATCCATCTCAGCTCACTACTTTACAAAATCTGATGTACAACTGATCTTCCTGGTTAAGTCTAAAGTAAGGACTAAGTCAAAGCCTCACCATCCTCGCATGTAAGGAAGATTGTAGTGAAGCTCTTCTTTTGGCAGTTCACAGTCTATACAGTATTCTTTATAAACACCACAGTTCAAATGTTTCGATGTTTCTTGTGTTTTCATTTCCTAACTCTGGCATGCATATGAATGACTGAAAAGAGTGTGGTTTGGGTTATATATCAAAAGATATCTTTGCTTAATGTTTTGAGAATGATGATGGCAACAAATGTACAAATGTGCTTGACACAATAGATGTATGTATGGATTGTGATGAGTTGTATGAGCCCCCCCCCCAAAAAAATGATTAATAAATAAATAAACAAATAAATGCCATCCCATCAGAGGCTAAAAAAAAAGTTATCATTGCTTTTTAAACTTTGAAAAAAGATTAATTTGTTCAATGTAATATGCTAAGTTCTTGGCTGCTATTTCAATAGATGTTAGATACTGATCCAAGTAGAATAAAATCATTGACAATTTTCCCTTTATAACACTGTTCACTGATTCAGTTGTAAGGATTTCTATTTTCTTCATGTAAGTGCTTCAAATCATCTCCTTTTCAACAACCAACAGTGTATTACCTGCATATTTCATGTTAATAAGCCTTGCTCCAATTCTTCAGCCACATCTCCTTCTTTATTATATAGTGTTGCTTCTGAATATGGATATTACCCTGCCACATGCTTTTAAAAATTTTAACTACACACTATCCCTTTGTTGTGTTCAAACACCTGCCTTTGACTCATATAGAGGTTCCACCTGAGCACAATTAAATTGTTATTTTTCACAATGTTATTCACAATTTCTTATTATCCCCATAGTCAAATGTATTTGTGTGATCTGATAAACATCTTTATGGTATTCTCTACTTTGGACCAACATCTATCTGATAACAGCAATTACTTCTCTTCACATCCTCTTCTGAATCAACTTTAGTTCATGTTGATGCAGCGTTTATATTTTTAAAAATTATTTTCAGCAGGATATTACTAGCATATGATATTAATGATATTGTTCAATAATTTCTGTAGTCCATTTGATCATCTTTGTTTGGACAGGTAGTAACATGGATCACTTTCAATGTGTTTGCTAGCTAACAGTCATACAAATATGTTAACATAGAGGACTATAAAATATATGCATTTCAAAGCATCCATGCTTGATATTCTGCCCATTCCTAGAGCCTTGTTTTCGAGCAATGTTGTTAGTGCCAATGGTTCTAGATCATATGCCTATTCCTGAATGGTTGAACACCAACATAGCCTCTTTGGTACAATGACTGTATATTCTTCGATCTTCTTTTGCTGTGTCCTGTGTCATTCAGCTTTTTTTACTCACAAAACATATCAGTAATGTAACTCAAAACTTGAGGTTTTGCTTCAGTTCTTCAAACTTGGTAAAAATATCAATTGTGTTCTTCCCTTTTGAGTTTCTAATTCTGATCTCTGTACATTGCATCATAATTTACCTTGCCTTCTTGAACCACTCTTTGGAATCTTCTGTTCAGCCATTTTACCTCATTTCTTCTGTTCATTTTAATTACTCAGAGCTTCTTTAAGAGAGAGTTTCAGAGCAACTTCTGATTCTCCTAGATTTTTTCCTTCATGTCTGTATTTTTAATGGCCTTTTACTTTTTCTACGTATGATGTCCTTGATTTGGTTTTCAGGTGTGTCTACCACTGGGAGACCTCTTAGGTAAAGATACACTACTAAGCTTTATGCAGCAGTTAGAAACATTGGGATATGGATGGTGGAGGCAAGAGGAATCAAAGAGCAAGAAATTACATAAGGCAGTACAATCTGCCTAAAAACTCTTTTATCTGTGAAACATAAGAGAAGGTGCTTCAAGAAGTTCTTGGAAAAATAGAATTAAAATATAATGGAATTTTTCTAAGAACTTTTTGAAGCCCCCTCATATATTGATATTGCTGTATAAGGCTCCTGAAAATGTATTGTGCTATGCTAGAAATCAGGTTAAAAAACAATGATTTTATTTTCTGCACAGCATAGAAATAATAACAAACAATTTACTGTTAATGCACATATGCAAAGACTCTTTACAGCATGAATTTTAGATCATATAAAGAATGTCAAACAAACATTACAAATGTACTCACTTTAGCTCCAACGCTGCAACTGCCAGTGCTCCCAGTGCTCCCAGTTGCAACACCTGTAAATCTAGCTTCCAATAATTCTTGCCTTCTTGGATCCAGACTATGAAGCTCATCCATTGCACCTAGTAAGAGGGGAGAAAGTATATATATATATATATATATGTGTATACACATCTGTGCGCATATACACATATGTATCTATGCATACACACAAATATGTATGGATTTGTGTGGCTAGTTAAAATGTCAATACAAAGTTTATGCACGAATACTAAAGAATGATGAAATTCAGAGTTTTGTAATACTCTAAGGTTTACGTGCCTATACCCATTTCACAGGACATCTTAATCTTCAGTAGACTATGACTCTTTTCATTACAACCCACATTGAAAAATAAATTTTCTTTCCAACTCAGTATATATTTATACATACATATTTATTAAAGTCTTTAAAATATTTAACCTTTCTACATGCAGTACACGTTAATAGTTTTCTAGTCTAATCTAAACCATTAAAAAAAGAAAAGAAACCACTAGTTGTGGGCCACTCAACTGAATCCAATACCCAAATGATCAGGGTTCACAGTTTGAAAAATACTGTTCCTCCCAGAATGATCAGAACAGACTCGATGGCAAGGAGTTCAACGAGAATCTGTCTTCTTTCCCAGAGTGGGTGATATAGCCCCCTGGCAGGCTCTGGAAAGACAGAGGAGATCATACAAAAGATCCCTAATACTTTATCCTGGATTATGATCTACCATACGAAAATTTTTAATTGTCAGACGGACCCTGATTTTTTAATGTGTGTGTGTTCGTTTGTTTTTTCCTTATAAGGAGGCAGTCAACTAAGTAAGTTTCGAAACATGTTCTGAGTCTATATGGAATTTGGGCGCTAAGTGAAATTACTACTCATTATTTTGTTTACAAATACCTTATCTGAGTATATTTTAAACTGAAAAGACTGGCTTATTGTCACATCTCTGAAAATTTATTAGTCAGTTGTTAATTGTTAGTTTCTATAGAGTAAATGGAACACACACACATACAAGGGGGCTTCAAAAAATTCATGGAAAAATTCCATTCTCCGAGAACTTTGTAAATCCTTCCCATTTATCAATCAAATCAAAGAGGTAAGCAGTCATCTTGAGAATTAAAAAAATTACCATCCACATGTAATTTTTAGTACTTAGACTAGTGTACCATAAATTCTTGATGGACTTCAATTAAATTCGTATGTCTGCTAATTTTAACTGACAAAAGGCTAGAATAGACATAAATGAGTATTTTCAAAGGGAATAGGAAGGCTGTTATCCATAATATAGAATCCCTTTATACACACCCTCTTTCAGAGGTTAAAAACTTATCTACCCAATCCAAAGTCACTGTCATTGAGTGATTCCAGTGCACAGCAAGAGACTGCAAAACTTGATGGGCACAAACAGTTTCGCCTTTCTCCCATGGAGCAGCTGGTAGTTTTGAACCACCATTCTTGCAGTTAGCAGTCCAACATACCTAGCTCACAGTGCCACCAGGGTTCCTACAGATTTTAGAGTTTTATTGCGTTTCTTCTAATGAAAGGGATAAAAAGGACTTAAATAAATGAAATGGTATTCTATGTTCATGGATTGGAAAACTATACAATCGAAATATTCAATATAAATTTGATAAAGTTTACAGTCGTCTTCTTTATACAAATAGGAAACAAAATCCACTTTATATGGAATGACAAGAAGTCCTGCCCCTTCAGAAGTTTCTCCCCTGTAACTCACAGAACATTGAAAAGGAACACAATCTGAGTTCCTGTAGAAATATGGAAGAACACAGGAATGATGCATTTGAAGTTTGGTCTTGCTTAAGAAATTTGAAAGTCCTGTGCACATCGCTAAGAGAAAGAAAAATCTGTCTTAGAAGTAGTATAATCAGAATGTTCCTTAAAAGTGAGGCTGGAGAGATTCTGTCTCGTGTACTTTGGACATGTTATCAGGGGAGACCATACCCTGGAAAAGGACATCGAGCTTGGTAAAGCAAAGGGCCAATGAAAAAAGCAAATGCCAGCAAGGAGATACGTGGACCCAGTGGCTGCAACAATGGGCTCAACACTAACAATCGTGAAGATAGTGCAAGACTAGAGGGTTTCATTATGCACACTCCCTACAGCACCTTAAAACAATAACGAGATGCCAAAGCTGCTGCTGAGATGTGGTGTAAGTAAAAAAGGACAGCATTCTTCAAGAACATGTTAGAGAGATACGACCAAATGCCTTCAGAAGACCGACGTAGAAGATATCAAGAAACAATATTTCATATTTTGATTATTTTCATTTAATAAAGACTTTAGGATTTCATAGCAATGCATTTTTACTTACCCTTGTATAACCACAGAAAATTTCCACACTCTTTGACAAAGTTAAAAGCATAATAACCAAGTACAATTTTTAAAAATACAAGTCTATTAGTACGAAGAATAGAAATCTCTGGAGGGGAATGAAATGATATTTAATTGGGGTTTCCTACCATCAGATTGATTGAAATGCTCATCAGTTAATGTGGATCTGTGAATAGAGTAGATGTATTTCTTCTTTTCACAGATCGGCACTGCCAAATACTGATATCAACCCACAGCTTTTGATTTTAATTAGACATATTCATTACTTGGAAAGCAATGACAGAATATCATTAGGTCTTTTTCTTGATATTTGCCTTTTAGTATGTTATTACATTGCAGATTAATCATTTCCAATTCAAGGTTAGGTAAAAGTTCCTCAATTGTACAATCAAATGGATGTTAAAATATATCAGACACTGCACTTGCATCAATGTCTGAGAAACAGTGCTAGCACTGTACTTAACGGACATAAAATTTATCCACGCAAATCTGTGTGAGAATGAATACTCTGACTTCTTTTACACTATGGAAAGTGTGTAAAGCAGCTTCACATTATTTGCAGTTCAAACATTAGTTGCAATTGAAATGACTTTAGTGAAGTTTCACCTATAAGCAAAAATTTGTCTTGTAATTTTAAATTGAATTCATTCGGAAACATTATCAAGTCTACTCAAACAGCTAATTTTCAAAGTCAATCACTGTTGGGTAAGAGTGGTTGAGAGTGGTTCTTTGGAGAAAAATTTCAATCTCTGCTACAAATACAAAAAAGTACACTAAATATCACTAAGCAGAAAGGATGTTCTGTTCAATTTCTAAAAAAAATTCATGCAGGTGATGATGGTTAAGTCCATGACAGAGAATGAAGAGGTTCACCCTGACAGTACTGATTCAATAACATGATAGATCAAATATTTTCTGCAAAGAACATACTGAAGAATAATCAGTACAATGTATAATAATAGAGTTTACATAAAAAATAAAGTTTGAATCTTATTTCTACAAGCCTTTTAAATCTGTTCAATTAAGCCCATGTCTTTTTCTATACCACACAAATTCCTACCACCATCAATTTTAACATATCTTAGCAAATTCCACTTCATATTATCCTTAGTGATTTCTCAACTCTAAAAATATTCGCACAGACTATTCAGTGAGGCTAATTTCTCAGTCACTTCTAACTTAGCTTTTTTCTAAAAATCCTTAAAATAAATGACTAACAATATCAGTAACATCTGTTGATTTAAGAGCCAAGGAACACCACTCAATATCATTCGCCTTGTTTTTTTCAGTTGACTATGGATATTGCTTCTAGTATTCTAAAATCTTAATGTTCTTAAATCAACTATTCTTACCAAAAGGTTAATAGTCTCAAACAAGTTTATTTCTCTGTATATGTTTTGTTTTTGGTTGTTTTGTAAAAAAATAAATCATTTATTGGGGGTTCATACAACTCTTATCACAATCCATGCATACATCCATTGTGTCAAGCACATTTGTACATTTGTTGCCATCATCATTCAAAAAACATTTTCTATCTTTCTGCTTGAGCTCTTGGTATCAGCTCATTTTCCCCCTCCCTTTCTCGCCCTCCCTCCTCACGAACCCTTGATAATTTATAAATCATTATTTTTCCATGTCTTACACTGTCCAATTTTTCCATGTCTTACACCCACTTTTCTGTTGCCCATCCCCCAGGGAGGAGGTTATATGTAGATCATTGTTATGGGTTCCCCCTTTCTACCCCACCACCTTCCACTTCCCCTCCTGGTATCTCAACTCTCATTATTGATCCTGAGGGGTTTATCTGTTCTGGATTCCCGTGCTTCTACCTCTTCTCCGTACCAGTGTACATCCTCTGGTCTAGCCGGATTTGTAAGGTAGAAATGATAGTGGGGGGGGGGGTGTCATGGGAGTGGGGGATCATGATAGTGGGGGGTAGGAAGCATTAAAGAAATAGAGGAAAGTTGTATGTTTCACTGGTGCTATACTGCACCCTGACTGGCTCATCTCCTCTCCGCAACCCTTCTGTAAGGGGATGTCCAGTTGCCTACAGATGGGCTTTGGATCTCCACTCCGCACTCCCCCTCATTCACAATAATAGGATTTTTTGTTCTGGGTCATTGATGCCTGATACCTGATCCTATCGACACCTCATGACTGCACAGGCTGGTGTGCTTCTACCATGTGGACTTTGTTGCTTCTCAGCTAGATGACCGCTTGTTTATCTTCAAGCCTTTAAGACCCCAGAGACTATATCTTTTGATAGCCGAGCACCATTCAGCTTTCTTCACATTTGCTTAATGCACCTGCTTTGTCTTCAGCAACTGTGTCGGGAAGGTGAGTATCATGAAATGCCAGTTTAATAGAACAAAGTGTTCTTGCATTGAGGGAGTACTTGAGTAGAGAGAGGCCCAATGCCCATCCGCTATCTTAATACTAAACCTATAAATATATGCACATAGATCTATTTCCCCACGTGTTTGGGTTTTTTTTATCTACTGCACTCAAACATGGTTATTTTGGTAATAGTCTCATTTTGTTTTTATGAAGAAATTAAGCTGTGATAAAATATTCTAATTTTTCTGTTATTTTCCTGAGAGTTGGGACTATTGTGGCAAGTGTTTAGTCTATAATGTTGGTGTACATTATATTATTTTATTCCATCTATGCTATATAACTCACTAACAAACTAATTCACTCTATTGCATCTAAAACACATGGCATTCAAAATCC